ATATTGCTATATATTCGTCAATGCATTACAATGGGTTTTTTAATTGATTTCCTGTTAGGAGCCTACGATGACAACGCCCCCGCAATTGATGATATCGTCGAGTTTGAAGTTATGCTGTTGATGACAGAAGGAGCGATTCCCGGAGAAATACACCTCTTTAATATTAATATCGAAGTAGATCACGTGCAAATCATGAACTTAACAAAATATTTCAACGCAACTGAAATAAATCCCGTAAGTATACAATTTAAGCTTTAGAATTTCAGCTCTTACCCGAGATTGTAAGATTAATGCATTGTTCTTCATCATCCTTGTATTGAGTCGGTCATTTCAATTTATCGAAGTCACATGTTCGAATCTATTTTTATACTCAATATAATGGAAGTGGATAGAAGAAAATATGAAATGTTTCTTTTATTATTATTTGAAATATCAAAACTATGATTCAATTACATTTTGTATATATTGCTTAAATATATTTTTACACTTCATGTTATACATATATATATAAAACGAACACACGGTAGTGCGAACAAACTTCGCTAAGACTGTTATTCTTGAGAATATTAAAAGCCGAGTTTGATTTTTGTAATGCTTCATCAATATAAATCACCGCTGAACACAATTTTATTGTTCTACTTCTTATGACAAGGTATTGGAAAATACATGGATATTACAGTAGCCATGATCATGAATATGAAATGCTTCCAGGTCCGATTCGGTCGTTCATGTAGCATTTATGTTCAGTTCCCCTGTTCATCCTATTTGAATCTGGGGACAGTCAAGCCTCTATTTTAAATCATTATCTTACACGATTCAACGACTTTACGTTTATCTCCTTGCAGATAGATAAAATAAATATTACAGCATCTCAGAGCTACCCACTTATACCTAAAAGTGCAACAGGTAGCGTAACATTTACGTGGGATGTACCGCTGCTGTCGTCTGGAGTTTACTCAATCCGCGCCTCGACAAAGCGGAACACTGGACCAGGTGGGAACGGATTAATCGTAGCGGGAGTGCAAATTGCTTCAGTTGGCTCTAACCTTCCTTGTGTTCCTCGATCAAGACATTGGAAAATGTCTAGTTCCGGTAGCATGAAGGTCTCAAACATACCATATACTACCAGCTCAATTGCAAACAAATTCGGTTTTAGAGTATCAGTAGTAGCAATCTCTCAATTAGTAGAAGCATATTCGTCTCATGAGCTATCAGCGACAATAAGCTACCCAGGCGAGGGGTCTCCGCAGTCCTTTAAATTATATTTCAACATAACCGACAAGGAAATTTTTACGGTGAGCAATATCTTATAACTTGAAAATTGATGTGCCATGAAAATAAGATTTGACCAGAAAAAAATACAAATTATTAACTGATATATGCGTAAAGGTAATTAGTTTTTTCCCGATTTGTAACCGTTTGACCTATTGTTTCTTTCCATAAATGTATAGGTCATAAGTATCATTGTGATATATGGTAAACGCATTGCGTTGTACCAATACCAAGACGGTATGTCGAAAGAACAGATATAATATTTATTATTTTGTTTAATGACCTATTAACAGCTAAGGTCATAAAAGTATGCGTGCATGTGTGTATATTTGTTGGAGACAGGGTATGTTAGTGTAAATACCCCCTTGTGATAGCGCTATCTCACTGAGACGCCATGCCGAAGGCCCCAGCACAGCATTCCGCCTGGTTACATCAAAGTGACAAAGAATGAACCAGTTGTTGTCACTACTCTTGATGCTGAACGATAAGCAGGGAATAACAAAACCATTTTCAAGGACTTTGGTATGTCCCAGCCTAAGGACAGGACGCTTTGCCTTCCTAACGATTTAATTCCCGTATAATTTTTATGTCGATGATGTTACCATATCCCCATATTTTTTACAAACATGAAATGATTTTAATTCAGCAATCATGAAACGTCAGTGAAATGTCTAAAATTCCAAAACATTTCTTTCTTCCATCAAGGATTTTTGTTTCTCCAGAAATATGTTGTCCTCGTGCATTGTTCATAAATATATATATACTAAAAAAAAATTAAAAAAAATAGCACCATGCTAATTACGTTTTAACTTGCTTGTTACATATGTTGCTGCACGATCTTTATGACATTGGGCAGTATTTTCTCAGAATGTTGTATATTTCCAGTCGTTGTGTTTTAAACAGTGATAATTAAAGTTGGAAAGGTCGACTCGATGGCGCCACACATGTATATTGCATATGTATACAGATATCCAATGTATGTCATTTAGAAAGGCATCGGATCGATCGATTACAATGCCATAAACCTTCGAAATGTAATAAATACTAATCAATACAAAAAATGAAAAGAAAGATTGCTCTTTCTAGGAGAATCACTTTGTTTAGCTGTAATGAATTCGCCGAATGTTTCAGACACAGAATAAGCACGGTAACCTGCCACTTGAAATCTACTTTCATGAAACATGTCGGTCAGTCACCCCAAGCACAGAGTTAGAGCTAATTCTACACACTCGCTTTGGTTCTCGGTACGGTCGTCTGCTTGTGGAGTTACCAATACCGGCCGATTTGATGGGACAGTCATTTAGTTTGTGTTACTTTGGAATAGTTTGGGTAGGACGCAACATTGTCATCCGATCTAATACAACAATGAAAAGGTAATAGAAAAACATATTATTACAATTACTCCTTTTTTAAATATAACTTTTTCTATATATTTTTTTCTTTTGTTTTCGATAACCGTTACTTCTGTTACATAATACATATATTTTTTTTCTAATAGAAATAGTTAACAACGCAGTATATCATGTTATAATAATACGATAATTGGTGTCAGAAGAAAAGTTTTATACTTTATTCATTTGTTTTACTTTGAATTTTTTAAATAATACGAAAATGAAGTACCGTATAATGGGTAACACGGGCTTAAGTTTTCGCGATTTTACACCAAAATTAGAAACTTTAATTTACACGATCTAGGCATGTGAAGAAATAGCATTTTCGCAGTGTTTTAGAACAAAGACTTCCCAATCGGCATATAAAGTGTTATATAAGTAAATTAATAGACTTTATAGCGGCGTATTGAGCAACAAGTAAGTGTTTTGTTAAAAATAATCATCAACAAAACTATTAGATGTGTGATGTAACCTATTTTCAAACATTCTATTTAATAACTCTTTATCCATATGAATCGTCACAACCACATACTTGGTATTTTTTGCCGACATTACGGTAATATCGCTACTCATTTTTACGCTTGTCATGTTATTTTGTGGATCATATTTTCGCGTTTACGTATATGACCTGCGATTTCACTAAAGTATGATCCCCGCAGAAAAAATCCTTCTATACGGTATTTCATATTTAATGATAATATTTCAACATGTTGTTGTGTAAAACAAAGTTTTTTGAATAATAAATATAACATTGGCAATAAGTTTGTTTTACCTCTGTGCGTTGAAACTTGTATCTGCTTTTAATGCTATAGTATAGGCAATTTATGTTAGAATATTTGTTTACGTTTAACAGATGTGTTTTCTCTTTCAATACAGACGTGATGATGGTATAATTGAAAATGTACTCGTAGACATTTCACCGTTGACAAATATTTATTTTGCAACGTACGATAGACTTACCGTCAACTACGTCACTATGAAAATGGTTGCGACGTTTATCAACAATAGCCTAAATATAAACAATTTACCGAAACATTTTACAGCCAGGGTTATCAGCAACAACGTACCTATCTGGACAGGAATCGTACCCATAGCACATCCATCCATTGTAAGTAGGGATTTCAATAAAGATGTCATCTTATCTAATTGTTCCTGAACATGCACAACGCAGGAGAATTTGTGGATATTTATACGGGTGAAATGTATGTCCATAGCAGGTTTCGTTAGGGTAAAACAATCATTAAATAGGTTGAAAGTGTTCAAGGTGTAATATCTTAAATGTATGTGTTCAATATGTTCTGGTGAAAGAATTACATTTACATATTTGCGTATGTTTTAAAATGTTCACTATATGGTTGGTTGTACAAGATTTAACTTCCTATCAACAGCTAAGGTCATTTCCGGATGTGCATCCATGGGTGTTGTGTATGCGTGCATGTGTATATGTGTGTCGGAAACAGGGTGTGTTGGCGCTAGAAAATAAAAGGTAGTTCGAGAGAAATATAAACATTCCAAATATTGCAATGGTGGCAACCGATTTTACTTTGGTCGCTTTTGTATCCCCAAGTAAATGGCACAAAAGCAAATCCAAATTCTACAGGGTATTCCCTCATATGTCGCCTCTTACGATACATGCATTGTGTATTCTTTGCTCGACCCCCGACCTGAAGGGGATCCTAGCCTTCAAGTTATTTACATCAAAATACTTCTATTGTGATCTGACGGTTTCTTCTGCATCTGCCCTGTCTAGAGTCACCAAGTCATGTGTTTGGAAAGAAGATTATTTTGTTGCCAATATTATGATTTTGTTAGCTAAGACAGAATAGAATATCCAAGAGGATAATTGGAAATGATAAGTATTGAATCTGAGGAGTATGTGCATCAGTAAAATATTTTGGTTATATATCAACCTAGACTAATCTGCTTAAATGTAGTATAACCTGATGGTTAAATTTTAAATCTAGTATAATCTGCTCTTGCCTGATTTACCCATCAAAGACACTTTTTATGTGATTCTCGTAGAGTCTTCCATTACTGCACTGTTACATGTAAGTAGTTCTGGAAAGGGTTCGATAACATGTAAAGCCTGCTACCATTTTTGTTGCGTCATGTTGCTTACATACGACATACCTTTTTTCACAGTTTAGCGGCATTTGACATATATAAAAGCAAATTACAAGGTATTGCAATGCATTTATGTGTTTTTATGCTTATAAAAAGGAATAACGTTTCATTTTTGTTTTCGCTTTAGGAGTATTATCCAAATTTTGTACTTGTGACAGAAATTGTAAAATTGGCTTCCACCAATCCGGCGAACATCTCGTACCACTACAGTCAAAATGGCACCTATTATCACCAAGAATCCATAATGGTACGCTTATTTTTCACTTGTTGTAAATACCAAGCCGTGTCAATATCTTTCTAGGAATTATGAAAACACTTAAATATCACATGCTCAGATTTTTCAATGATTGAAACTTATACAAAGGTAAGTGGTAGCTTGGAAAACAAAAAAAGCTTATGTAATTTCTGCATTTCCTTAAAATAGTGAAAAATTAAATTTAATAGAAATATTTAGCTATGTTTGATGCAACCAGATTCTATGAATTATATAAAAAAAAAATGTCTATGTCTGAATCCGGTTGTTACACGCATACATGGAGTGGAATCGATAGGTGGCTTTAAGACCAATTTATGTTTTTGAATCATATTGTACTTAATTTATTTCTACCATACAGTGGGATGGTGGAACTCATGGGTTCCAGTTTGCGTTTCCGAAGGTTGTCTCTCACTTTTATTTCACCACTGATGCCTGCACTGTGATTTGTAATGTGACAGCAGCATGGCTGCCGCGTAAGTACGCCCTTGTTGGGTTTGTTTGTCTGTTTGTTTGTTTTTGGGTTTAATGACCTCGCAACAGCCAGGGTTATATATTGACGGTACATAGGGAGGCACAGCCTGAAACAGAAAGTAGCTAGTTTCTAAACTGGTGACACGTATGAGACAAAAGGAATAACACCCCCAATTATGCAGGGGACCCGACATAAGTCGTTTCTTATGATCATGCAGTCGGAAACAGATCGCTTTTTCTTTCCCCGAACCTGCACCGGTTACTTTGTAAAGTAATCAAGCATGTATGATATCATTCACATAACAATGCTAATAGAATTGTAACAGAAATACAATGAAGGTAATTGTTATATTCTTTCACATATTTTCTTCGATGAATACAGTTTTTAAACTTTACTCAATACACAATATTTATGAGACAGCGAACATTGAAATTATGTTGTAATACTAGAGCAATGTCCGTTCATATGCAGATTTCAAATTGAAACAAAAGTGGAATTAAAATACGAAAGCTAGGCTCATAGGCAAGGACAAATATAAATGATATGTCTGAACGAAGATATGTCATTTTGTTATTTGTTAGATAAGACAATGACAAACCTAATACAGATAGTAGTATGTATGTACTGATGGAATCGTTCCAGAATTCTGGTTTGTGTCTGATTCATTATGTTGAAAAAAGAGGATAACAGATACATTTTCATATTTTAATTATGTAAATTTACGTGATAAAAGAAACAAAAGTAACACTTTACTAACGTAGGCATGACGCACGTCCAGGGCTTAAGTGTGACCTCAAATTAAAAAGAACATCATTTTCGGTATTACGTTTTGCATATTTTTGAAACAAAGCGCAAATAAACTAATAATGTATAACCAACGTATATTCAATGTATATTTTCATGTTTCAGTGAGGGATTATATCACTATTGTTCAGGATAACAACGACACTATGTTGAAGATGTTACCATATGCTCTTGACCAGGATTCGGACACGTGCTTTGATTTACCCGTGCCGGGGGATTCCCCCTCCATGCTGTGGATGATGATTACACAGCTTAGTCTCTTCGGTGTGACGTCACAGAGATTTGTTGTACGAATCACAGGTCACGACATAGAGTGTGGAAACATTGGACAGAAGAGTATCCATGTAAGCCCTTATTTTATTAAATACGTGTTACTCTCATTTTACACAATAACAGTTAGTTTTTATTATGATGGCCTAGTTTCATCTGACTAAGTTTTTGCCGACGAGGATGTCATCATTAGCACGAAAAGGTTTTTATCGTTAATGTTTCGGTTACATTCTATTTCGGTAAGATTAAATATGGAATGCTTCCTATGCAGAACTAATTATTTTCAAATATTATTCATTTGGAGTAACAATCTTATATCATCAATATTGTCCAGCAAACTGAGCTCTTTTTGTGGGAAATTCACATGTAGTTTGTGTATATCGAGGTAAATATTGATTGTTTTTATATTTCTATACACATAGTTGATACTTTTCATACATTTTCTGTTCAGGTTGGAACGTCTGGACCTGCCTATAATCATCAATGCAGCACCGAATCAGATGTAATATTTTGTACGTTACTCTTACGTACTGATAACGCTACCATGACGCAATGTGACATAGAATGCGAATGTGACACGTTGGGACAGTGCTCGAACGTTCACATTTTCATGCAGAGTACAAACACGGATGTCTGGAGTTTATGCGAACTCTCAATAAATGATGTGGTAGATTTATAAACAGATTGTCTGGAAATTAAGCCGACGCACCAGAAATGATGCGGTATAAGTGATACCTTTGGGATATGCAAATACATTCGAGCTGAAATGGTTTCATGACGTAAGTGGGTCTATCAATGTAAATTAAACAACGACTTGTTTGATTTATGTGACACTTGCCAACGGTGAAATGCAATAGGTAAAACCATTATCATTGTTCCTTTATAACAATAATGTCAGAAGCTTTTCGCTCTCGCAATAAAATATTCCAGAGATAAACAGCGATGTTTGGAGGTAGCGACAAACGAACTGTGATTAATTATATACGGCTCTGCAATGATATAAAATATTCACTGTAGTCTCCAATTCAACACGTTACAGTTTACAGGCCAACGAGGATATCAGATGGTTGTATAAATTGTTTGTATACGTGTGTTAAATAGCCTGTAAAACTAAAGTTTGGTTTCTTGTCCAAAGTTATACTGTTTGGGCATTAACTAAGCGAATTGTCAGGCACTATTGAGGTAATACAGTATCAATATGACCTCTCATGATGGTCACGTGACCTGAAAGAGTTTTTGTATCTGACATGGTGAAAACGTGTTAGAAAACTTATTCATTAACAAATGTATAAATGAAATGAGTAGTACTTTTTGTACGGATCTGAAACAATCTATGTGTGAAATCATTTATTATAAAGCTGTAGGACCTTGCGAAATAATATCGACTAGTTTAAATGATTTTTAACGTCATCGATGACTTCTATCCAACATTCAGTTATATATTTATTGATGCCATGCTGTCAGAAAATATAACAAAGCCTGTTTAACCATGTCTTATGAATAATTAATAATTATAGCTTCATTATAATTTAAAAATATATATAAATTGGAAATCATGAAAACAAGGCCATTACCATCAATGTGTCGGTTCATATCTGCTTTTTATTATCGCCACACAACACTAAGTCTGGCATATCAGCGATAGACATTTATTAGACTGCTGACACTGCAAGTAATTCCCAATAATAAAAATGTTTCAGTGAATTATCGGAATAGGTTGGATTTTGTTATAAACTAAGTCACTCTGTGTAGTAAATATAATCAGGATTAAATTTTCTGATGGTAAAGGTTGTGTTACTGGAAAAAGAAGAAAGAAAAATACGTCAAATATCAAATTCTAAGCAGATTTATAGTTCGTTACAACTCTTTTGATGTTTTTTTAAAATATAAACATGTACTCTTACTTTTATAATTAATCACTAGACATATGCAAAAGGCAGCAATAATTAAATATTTAATATGCCGTGTAGATGCAAAAAGCTCAACAAAGTTAACATGTTTCACTGCACCACATTACCATTTCGTCCATTCAGTAAATACAAAACCCGAGTTTATCATCATGATTAGGATGTAAAATATACATCGAGAAACAATGGTTCTTCTAATTTGTGTTCGTTCAACCTTCCTTTGGTTATCAATGACAGCAATAAACACCACGTTAGGCTTCAAAATTCGCCACGTTTTGCATGTTACTTCTTTTTGTCAGCAAATTGTATATCGGTTTCCAGGTTTATTAAATATTTGAATGTGTCGTTTTGATAAAAAAAAAAAAAAAAATTACATAAAGATAATGATGACACGCTTCCTCTCGTCATATCAACGTATATGAGACATTTGTTAAGCATGTCAAACTTCTTTTGTGATTATAATGTATTAACTCTAACATCCAAAATCGCTTTTTTTTCTCGTAAGATCTTCATTACACGTACTACATTGTATATATCTATACTCGGTTGGCATAAACTTGATTTCTCGATTGCGCTTATGCTGTTTCAATATAAAAAAATATTATTGATTCAACTAATATGTATGGATGATATGAATTTGCAAAGGAGTCGTTGATAATAAACTCGACTTTTTTTCTTTTGTTTTCGATAACCGTTACTTCTGTTACATAATACATATATAACTTGGAGTCAAATTGTAGTTTTTGTATTTTGACTCTTGAATGATATGATATATCATTGGTCGTCTTATATTTATTAGTATTATCATTTGTTTGTTTTTTGGGTTTTTTTGTTTACAATTGTGGTTTGTTTTTTCTCTCTCTATTAGTTGACGTTGTTTATGCTATTTATATCCAAGTAGATGTTTTAGCTCGGTCAAATATTAGTAATCCTGTTTCTCCCTCAGGAAGTTGTATGTTGTTTATGCAATATCAATACCATGTATGAGTGTATATGGTTTCTGTACGTATGTGTGAGAAAGCGATCACTCAGCAGATATTCTTACTTGTTGTTTTTTGATAATGACATGTTTTATAAATTTAATCAATTGTCTGTTATATTGAGAGCAGGTGATGAACATGTTAACCCGGGTCCCACTTGTCCAGATAAATATGAATTAAGCAATATATCGATTCTTCATCTTATTGTTAGTTCTCTGCGTAATAAGCTTGAACTTATTGAAAGTGAATTTTTTGAAAATGACATTTTCTTATTTTCTGAAACTCATCTAGATGATTCTGTCAATGATACTGATCTCAAATTAGAGTCACATCCTAATTTCTTTAGAAATGATAGGAAGGAAAGGCAAGGTGGGGGTGTCATGATATATACAAAAGACAATATTCATGCTTCAAGAAGATTCGATCTTGAATCAGTTAATATGGAAAATATTGTCTTAGAAATTAGATCATCTAACAAAATGATTCTTCTTTGTTGTATTGACAGACCTCCAAACTCAAATTTTGCTTATTGGAATAAATTTGATAACTTAATTGATACACTGACTAATGTAAACTGTAATGTTTTTATTACTTGTGATATTAACCAAGATATGCTTTCTTTTTCTTCTAATACACATCTTGCAAGAATTTTAAGAAAATATTAGCTACACAATAACATTCAATGTCATACAAGAATAACAAATACATCAGCAACTGGTATTGACATATTCTATGTTAACAATCTAAACATAGTGCAGAGTGCAGAAGTGTTAACACCGCTATGAAGTGACCACTGTCCTTTTGTTATGAAGTATTAAAAGTAAAATCATTTATGATTTTTAATTTTTATTTAGTGAAACTAACTGGAATGAAATAAATAGATGTCTTCTAGCAATTGATTGGAATACATTAATCGGACATAATGATAATGTAAACGAGATAAATAGTATACTTATAAATCAAATAAAGTTGCTTACTGAAAAGTATATTCCATGTAAAGTAATAAGAATAAAGCAAAATGATAACCATGGATGACTAATGAAATAAGAACCCAGTTAAGGAAAAAGAATATATTACATAAAATAGCAAAACATACTAATAAAGTAAATGACTGGCAGAGATTTAGAATTTTGAGAAATAGTGTAATTGACCTTATTGGAAAGCTAAAGATACATATCTTAAGAAACTTCAAAACTCTCTTATAGATAAGACCATACCACCTAGTAAGTGGTGGCGTATTGCTTAGTTCATAAGTGGTCTTTCAAATAAAAAAGAAACTTCTCATCCTCTAAAAGTTGGTAATGATATTTTGATTCATCCGTTGGATAAAGCAGAAGGTATTAATAATGTGTGTATTTCTATTTTGAGCTCCGTTGATGATACTGTTAATATTAACAATTCTGATATGGATTTACCTCCCTTAGTCATATCAAACTTAGAGAAATTGTAATAACAGATCAAGACATAATTGATCAAGTCCAGCTTATTAAGGATAATGAACCCCCAGGGCCTGACAATGTTTCTCCTAAAATAATAAAAAATATTCTACCTTCTATAATTTTACCACTTAAAATTATCTTTAATAAAACAATTACTTCTGGTACTATACCTCTATCCTGGAAGTCTGCTAATGTTAATGCTCTATGTAAAGGCAAAGGAGCTATTGATGATCCAAATAATTATAGACCAATTGCAATTACATCCATTTTAAATAAAATATTAGAAAAAAAAAGTATGTTTTTAATTATGTAACCAAACATCATATTATCAGTGAGCACCAATCTGGATTTCAACCTAAAGACTCTACAGTCAACCAACTAATATCAAAATATAATTTAATTACTGATATGATTGATAAAGGTAAGGATGTACGATTAGTGTTTTGTGATATAAGTAAAATGTTTGACAAGGTCTGGTATAAGGGTCTTTTGTATCAGTTAAAAAATATATGGCATATCTGGTAATTTGTATAAATGGTTTGAAAGTTATCTTACTGTACTTGGACCTTTTTTTATTTTAACTATTTTTAATGATATAACTCATGAAATAATAAACTCGAAAATGTATATCTTGCTTTGTGTTTTTTGTTTCGGGGTTTATTGTCCTCGCCACAGCTAGTGTCGAATGAAGATGGGTGCCTAAACGAAATCATTGTTGTAAAGAGAGAGTTGATAGAAAAGAAAGAAGACAGGATTGACTGAAAACGAAAAAAGAGTGCAAATGTGTTGCAGAGGGGGAAGCTTATCAATTTTGGAATATACCATGTCCTTTCTTGAGAAGACACAGAATGAAACCCCGCATTATTGGCGGTCTCCATATTAATCATCACTTAAGAGGGTTCCAACATGTCTATTCCTAACTCAATTCCCTCTAAACAGAAGACATGGAAGAACAACCCCCTGATTTTAACGGGGGAAACAAAAGTCGCCTATTACGATCATGCAGTGAGATACAGCAGCCACATTCTTTCCCCAAACCTACAAGGGTTTTATGATGGGATTTATAATAAGATCGAAGACCAATTTAGATACAGAAACCAATCGTCGATTAGGAAATGACGGATCAACTACATGTACCGCAATAATTGTTTAGATTGCTATTGAACCATGCACGTAAAAAACACTCACAGGGTATTCTAAAATTAGGTATAAGAAACAGTACACCAGAAATAGAGTACACTGCATCAATGCATTGTCAAATAAGCACAAAAACATCATTTGCAATAGAAAAAGAATAAACAATAACTAACCGCAATCATAATATATCAAAATGTTTTAAGCGCAAATAGGCGA